TTATCCATAGCATTTTCCAAGTAGGATTATCTTACTAAGCTTTATATCAGAGCATAAATGAATCTGCAAATTACTTGCAATCACAATGCAATAGCTGGTATTATTAAAAGAACGAAACAATTTAACTTACTGTATTTACGTTTTGATCTTATTTTAACTAGATTATTTCTTGATTTTTACATTATCAGATTTTATAAATATATATTTATTACTTTGAGGAAGTTTAAGAAGGATAAGTTATTATATATAATCAACGACATTTTGTATAATAATTTCAGTTCTATACATGGGCGTCCAAGAGGAAGGTAAACGGGCTTAGGATCGATAAGATTTATAATTTGTGGAAGTTTTCCACAAATTATAATCTTAAAAGTGATATATATATATATATAACCTTATATCCTCGACATGGGACGCTTTGTTTGTCTTTATGCATTCATACAATTCTGTATTTCATAATTACTTAATGAAATACTGTATTCTATAAGTTTCTTGTAAAAAAAACAAAAATAATTAAATAAAATTTTATTGGTGTAATTATTTGTCTGTAAGCTTTGCCCTCGTGGAAAATTTCCTGGGGGCGCCCATGGTTCCACACAATAACTGAAATTGTTATACCTCATAAAAAAGACTAATTGATAAAACTGTAGTTTATAAATTTGGTTATTTTTATTGAAAAAACATTAATTTATTCGGACACTAGAAATCTTTAATAATGAAAAGCTATAATATATACAAGAGAGCTACTAAAGATATTCTATATCACGAAAATACATTTACATATAGCCTAATAATCTGTATTTTATACACATGATGTTACTAGATAGTTTAAGATATATTTTTTTTTTAATGTAACTTCTTAATTTTAAAATAACATAATCATTTTGGAGCGTAAATCTAGAATATGATTTAAAAAAATAATTCACGTATAATGGTAACGATGTTATGATTTTTAATTTTTAATTCTGTTACTAAAATAATCTATTTCGAGTAAAATAATGCCAGTTTCGAATTGAGTTACAAATAAAAAAAATAAAAAAATGTAACTCATTATCATTTTCGATATCCACCATTTAAATCATTTATTGTTTACTTAGAAAGTCGATTCACTAGTTAATAAATACATTCAGTGTATCGTTAATCTTTATTTGCTTGCATTCGTAATGATGACTTACTATTTTTGTTAGCGTTACAGACTCATGTTTTCTTTGTATCTGACAATAGCAAGCTTTTTGCGAACCAACAACAAAAATGAATGTGTTCATAACTTGTGAGAATAAATTTCCAAGCAGACACAAATTGATCTGCATCAAACAAGAATTTGTATGACATTTTTCGATCTGTAAATCCGAAATGATATGATTTTCAATAATTTTCAATAAATTTGTTTCTGTTTTTGCATTTTTTAAAAAAGAAAAGATGATGAAAAATAACTTTCTTAATAGAAACAAAACAATTTCGATAAAAAATTACAAACTAAATTGTAATGTCGTAACCGTTACATGCAACATATTTTTGTCATGTTTTAAATTTAATGCTTTTGAATGGTAAATTATGCTTAAAAGGTTTATAAACCAAGAATTCTCTGAGGAGAGATGACGCTTTCCTTAGAGGAAGGAGTGGTTGCATACAGATATATAAAACCACCAATAATATAAATTTTTACTGTTATTTGAAATTAGAAATTGTATTTTATATTAATTACTAAATTGTTCATTTTAAAAATATTTTCTTATTAAAAATATAAGATCTATTTCAAATAATGCAAATGTTCCATTATTGTAATGGAGTAGGTTATATTAACTAGAACTATTAACTGAAACCCAAATCTATATATGTCCATTCTTGAACTTCTACGACCGTTGAATTGGCTATTGATTCGACTAATAATAGGAATTCCCTAATGTCCATTCGTAATGACCATTCAAACTAAGTGAAGCTCAACCCATAGCAGCTTGTTAACGTTCTCAAGCGAATGTTTGACGCACTCCCCGAAGACTAATCCCGATAAACGGAAGGGAAATAATTAGTTAACGTTCACAGTTTCAGCAATAGTTATGTTATATATACGACAAAATATAATTCGCTTTATCTCGGCTATCATCGCTTAATGGCCTCGTATGGTACAGCATTAATTTGCTTTCATCAGGACGTTCATCAAAGTTTGTCTTTGCGTGAGAGATGGGATATGCTTCACTTTGATTAGATTTAGGTTCGATTTCATGTTAATTAGTACATATCTAAGTATCGTCATTATTCTCATGGTTGTCGGATGTTAAAGTACACATGATAGATAGCCACAGCAATATTTTAAAAAACAAATGCTGTAGATACTGTTTTAAAAAAGTTTAAATAGTACGCCAATACAAAGAAAAAAATGTAAACGTTTAATTGCGAAATTAAAAATATATTACTTGAAAGTGAATAATTTCATGTTTATAATGCTTTTGTTTAATACGCAAGAAATATAAATTGATTTTGAAAATTTATTCTTATATAAAAATAGTAATATAATTTAAATAATGTAAATAATTATTATTAAAATTATTTAAACTTTTATTTATCAACTTGCATTTTAAAAAGATTTTCCCATGAAAATTATTTATATTAAATTTATTTATAAAGTATTCTGTTATACTATTAATTTTTTTATTGTATGAGATTTGATTTTTCTCATTAAATGATTAAAATTGTATTTGCATTTTTGAACAATTGCAAGTTGAATTACTCTTTTTTTTCATACCACTATCCTCATGTATTTTTAAACAAATAATTTAGACCTTATATATTAATAAAATTATTTGTTAGCACTAAACAATTCGAAAGAATGAAATATTAAATGAAATATTTATATAAATTTCTAAACGAAATGTAAAATTAATCAATTAATTACTCAATCAGTTGATTAAAATTGTAATGCGTGAATATTTACTTGAATATTTCATTAAAAATAAATACAGTAATTTGATGTAGTTAATGATTGTTGTTGATAATATCACCGTACCATTAAAATAATAGAAAATAATTTATATTTAAAACATTATATTTTACATAAATGATATTAATTAGAAAAATGCTATCGGCAATGTATGAAATTGTTATTAGGATTATAAATTCATTGCGTTTTTAATCATTAATATTTTCACTTATAAAGTTGCGTAATTAACATTTTTATTACTGAATAAAAAAGTAAATTAATATATTTCGGATCACATTTTGTTTTTTTATTTAAGCTCTTTTCAATCATTTGATGAAATGAGTGCAAGTAATATAACCCAGCATGAACTGATATAATTTAATATTTGTGTATATAAATATGCGTATGACTACGACTTTTAAATAAATATTTGATTTATATTCTTCTCTTTTATCAACTTGTTTTTTATATATTAGAAAGAAAACAATGTATAGATTTTTTATTTTTTTTATATAAGTTAATAAATGCTATATTCATATTCATTATTTTTATAGGAATTAATAAAAATCTAGCATTATGTATAAAGTATAGTAAAAACTTCATATAAAAGTTTTCAATCTTCACTTGTCATGAGATTTTTTATTCTTGACAAATCATTTACTATTAATAACATTGCATAATTTTAATATTTTTAAAGTAATACGAAAAAAATAATATTACTGTACTTTACTGTGTTAGTTTTTTCAAATAATCTATTCTTAGTTTTAGTTTTTAATTAAAGACGTTGTAATTACTGTTATTAATACTTTTTCTACTAGATATAATTTGCGTAAAGCAAGTTGATTTTGTGTACTTATTCCTTAGCAATTGAGAAAATTTTTCTTATATAATACAAATATGAAAAAACTTTTTTGCGAAAGTTTCTATTAAAAAAAATAAAGAAAACAAACTAGCAATTTCCCGACTCTTAAACTAAATTGTGACAGAGATGGCGATTTTTGCGGCAGAAGAAACGAAAAAACGGCGTGTGTAGACTTTTTCCCATTTTTATGATCCCCAAGAGTGTGATTAAGACATGAAGAAAGAGGAAGAATGGTAATTGGATTCTTCAGTAACGTAGAAATCTGTGTAAACTCCTACCATAGGTCTCTATTTTATTTGTTGTTGTAAAGTTGTAGAAATTAGTCAAATATTTTTAAGCGAATTTCGACGTAAGTATCTCGAATTCTTCTTAAATATAAATTTTTTAAGTATCTTAACGTTATTTATAGCGTTTTTCATTCCATAAAACTTTTATAAAGGAGCCTTGAAATGAGCTATACTTCTTAGTAAATGACATATTTTTAACAAAATATAAAATTATTAATTTATATAAAGAATAATAATCTATAAATAATATCCTCACAAAGTATTGAAAAACTTTATAGTATAATTTATAATAGTTAAGTTTTTATAACCACGATAAATCATATTGATTTCTCTTATATCTTAGATTTTTGTTTTAACGCCACGAAATTCAACTTTAATAACCATACTGAATAGTTTCGAGTACAGAAAGACTTTTGACTCTTAGAAGAGGGTTTCTACTTTATATATATATATATATTTTATATTCTCCTTCGCATTTATTTAAGTTAAGAATGCACCGGAGATAAAATTTTTGCATTAAACCACACTAACGGAGGAGAATTTTCACCATCTTAAGTATTAATGTGGTGCATGATATATGAGTGACACTGGACTTGACACAACCTAACATCTTCCCTATTTATGTTATGAACTTAATATTTTTTATTACTTTCTCTGAATAGAAGTAACAGAAAGAGAAATATATAAAAACTTTTTTATTTTGAATATGTTTAAGAAAAATAATATAATTAAAAGTTTTATAAAATAAACATGCAATCGTTACTTTATTCAAATGTTTAATTACTAATTACTTCAATATCAATGATAATATTTTAGAGTAGTTTTAAAAATCAATTATATTCGATTGAATTTTTTGTTTTTGTAATATTTAATTAAGTATTTTAAAGATAGGGTTTAATAAAACATATTTTTAATGACTAAATTCTTCTTTCAGATGGCTGTTGTAGCTTTGGTCACAGTTCTCTACTTCTCATTATTTCTTGTAGTGCGGGCTATTAATGCAGGTAGGTTGATTAAAAGCAATTCATCACCACTCGAAGATAGTAAGAGAAATAAATTACATGATAAGATGTTATAATTACGCGGTTAACAAGTAGAAGTTTGTATTCATTCTAGATAAGGACTGTGTGTTACTTTTAAGTTTTAACTGCTTCTAAATAATTTCAATAATTTGCATAAAAACTAAACATGTAGTTGTGACGTAAAGATATATTTTTATAACTTAAAAATCAAATTTTCTATGAAAATATTTGATATTACAGTATTCATTTAAAAATTAATAACTTTAAATAATGATTCATGAAAAATATTTTTTATGCGATTCACAATTTACAATATTCAAAAAAAAAAAAAATAAAAGCAAAGAAGACAGAAAAGAAAGAGAGATTTTTTGAGCATTTTTTAATTTTCCAAATTCGACAGTTTTAGTTCAATATAAATTGTTGTCTAAGTAATAAGTCTACTCGTATTTCTTGTTATCTATGGTTTTTAGTGATATATATTATGGACCATTCAGTTTAACTACCAAATTCGGCCATAGTTTCTATTGCTTATCATAAATTACTTGACTTTTTTATACGAAAAGTCTGAGTAATAGGATGAAACTTTCTAGGAAACTGTAATATTTGGCTTCTTACATTGATATGGAAAGAGTTTTTCCCCCTTAGACATATCGCGTAACAGTTGAAGATATCAAAATATTTACTTTTCAAGTTTTAGGGGGCAATAATTCACAAATAATGCATTTTTTTAAAAGTAATACAATAACAATTATTATAAAATTTCACATTTTTATAATTAAGAACTGTAATAAAATAAATAAATAAATTCTTTATTTACTTTTAAAGATAATTAAAATCTATTTAATTTCTTTTTTCGTTCTGACAAAAACTTATACGATTTTATAATATTTTAATAATAAATAAATATAAGAAATTGATAAACAATGGAAAGTAATTTTAAACATTCATTTAAAAAGTATGATTTTAGCAAAACTATTATTCAATTATTAAAGTGATTTTTAAGATATTATAAACTCATCTTGAAAATTTGAAATATTATGAAATAAATAAATAGAATTTAAGTTTTGCTAAAAACTTATGATTTTTTTTGAAATAAGGAATTGCCTGTATTCAGATATTTTTAAACTATTTAAAATTTAATATTTTCTTGTAATATTAATTTAGATATGCATTACGCTTACAGTAAAATGATAAAAGTTTGATTATTGTCATAAATAAACTCTTATTTAGGTAGGGAGAACCAAAATTTTGTATAAATGTATTCAAAATTATACCTTAATGCTAAGAACTATTTCGAAAAATAATTACCTGCGGAAGCATAACTATATTTAATGCTTGTTCGTAAATTAAAAGTTTGAATATTATGTTTTTATTATTACAGATTCGGAATAAAAGTTTAAAGATAGACAGACACAGCAGAAAAATAAAATTCAAAGCAAACAGTTTTTTAATGATTTTATTAACATAAAATATTAACATCATAAATAATATAAATTTATTTTGAATTATTTATTTACATTTTTCTTACGTTCTATTCAGATATATTCGTAAAACAAAGAATATTATTTTTAAAGAATAAAAATTCACATATTGTTTTTTTAGAAATTTTTTCTTATTATTTTTATATTAATAACACAGTAGACTTTTTTGTTTTTTCATTCAATTCGCAAAATTCTACAAAAATCTAAGAAAACATTTTAAAAAAGTCCCTGAAAATAAATTCTTGTTTATTCCACAGAACTTCAAATCGTCTTACGTTGAAGTTTATTTCAAATATTTCTTTAAAAAAATTGTGATAAAATATATTTAATTTATAGTATGAAAGTATTTTCGGATGACCTGAAAACTGAATTTGGTATTCGCATAGTAATGAATAAAATGCATGTAGTTTACATCACGTCATCGAAACAATAATTAAGCTCTGACATACTAAACAGTACTAACATGAAATGTCAAATAGGCCGAAATTGTTAACAATCACCCTTAGACAAATGTTCAAGCACCGATAACAATCATATCTCATTAAATTGCTTCTGACACATTCTGATAGAGGAAGCCAGCGAACATGATACAAAGGTTTGTTTACGCAAAGATTTCCATCAAGTTAACTCATAGGCACCGTCGAGTGGCCGTACGCCAGGGTTTAATGGTTATTCTAAATCACCAACAGCTGCATGCGGTTATGAAAGACAAATGATATTCGTCTAACAACCGTACAATGTAACTAAATTCGCTTTAATTCAAAAGACAAAAGTTGGAGATTTTCATAGAGTTTGAAAGGCAAGTCTTTCAATTTCGGTTTTATATCGAAAATTACACTTCTAACTGAATACCATCCTCGTCAGCTGTTCGGTAAGTGAATTCTAATAGTTAATATTATAAACTTTTACAAACTCGAAATAAATGAATTCACTATTTTTTATTTATAGATATTTTGATGCTGTACTAATTCAAAACATATATAAATGTATATTACGAGAAATTGCTTAGTGTAATCATTTTTTTTCAAGAAATTGTAATTATCATCTTAAAAATTTATATTGTTTTTGCATAAAAATGAAATCTGCCATGAACGGTCGTTCTTAATTTAGGCGTTTCTCGAATGTAAATATTTAATTTCGCATTTGCTTAGTATTATAAGCTTTGAATAGTCTCCCTGACGTCGAAAAATTTTTCTCATACAATAAAGTTCATGCAATATAATTTCTGAATCTGATTTTGCTTGAATTTGCCATAAAGTTGACACTAAAGTGCCAACTTTATGGCAAATTCAAATTGAATTGTTAGATATTTCACTTACTGGATGTTCTTCATATATTTTAAACATGAAATTGTGTCCGGACCTTTTTAATGTGCTTTTGAAGATAAGGAAATATAATATTAAGAAACGTTTTATTATATATTTAGTGAGCAAAATATTGCTTCATTAAAGTTTTATTAATTGTATAGGCCTAAATCTGCAGTATTCACTTTAAAACACTTTAAGTAATTTTGTAACCAAATTAGCTTCAAAAATTAGGTTATTATTGTTACATTAATTACTGTTTTTACATAGTTTATAAGAATGTATTTTCTTATTACAGGCTATAATTTTGTTGTGAATTTTTATGTTTGTTTTATAATCTTATAACAACAGTTAAACGTAGTAGAGATGTTCAGTTTCCTCAAACTTAAACATGAAGTGTATTTTTTTATATTATAGCATATTGTAAGGATCAATCAATTGTCAAAGAGACGAGATTCACCCAAATGGCTAACAATTTCATTTTCTTTCTTAATAATTTTGAAAAAATATAATCAGATCCCTTATCCTTTCAGAAACTCGGCTTGCATTAAGATAGGGATAACTGAGATATTTGCTTCGAGCATAATGAAAGTACAGGCGTTAAACTAATTAGTAAATATTTTAAAAAGATGTCAAATACTTTGTATTAGAAAGAAAAATATTATAAAATATAAAAATAGTTTTTTAATCTTAATAATATGTAATAGCTATTTCTTCTTTCTCCTCCGCCCAAGGACTGGTTGAATCCCTCATGGATTTCTCTTTTCCATTGGTTTCTGCTTTGTGCATTTGTCCACATTCGGTAGAATCCAGATAAGGTTGTTCTGGTTGTTTAAGGATTTGATCTGTAGAATAAGCTTTAGTTGTTGTATTTATATTATATTTATTATATATGTGTGTAATATCTATTTTATTAATAAAATTTAGAGATTTGTTTAATTTTTTGTGTTTTTTATGTCGATTATATTTTAATTTTATCGTCAAGTTATTAATATAAGTTAAATTAAAACATAAGCAACAACGGTATTCTGTCGAGCCTTATTCAGATTAGCGATAGTTCTATTGAACTCAGTTACGAATGAGAGAAGCGGCTTAAGGCTGTACCTAAAAGTTCGAGACCCTTTAAAAGTTTAGATTCTAAGTCTGAATTCGCCACTAGAATTGATTCGATATTTATCATAAACTAAACTAGAAATTATTGCATTACACCATCATTTAATTATTTTAATTATAAACAATCTTTAAATAAAGGAGGAGAGAATTAATTAACAAAATATATTTCAATTTATGTAATATAAAACTTGTGGCTTACAGCCAAACATGCTGCCACTATACTATGATTTCTTAAGCATTAGCAGTTAGACAACCTTCACCTAACTTTAATAGCCATCCGTCATAAAACTGATACATTATAAATGATCTTAACAGCATATTCAAATACTTTTCTGAATTTATTTATTTCGTATACGCTACCGTAAAAAAATTTTTAAAAAATTCTAATTATTAAATTGATTTAAAATCTCGAAAAATGATGACAAATCTGACATTTTAAATGTATATATTCTTCAACAAAAATTAAGACACAGATTTCTTTATACTCAAACATGTTTATTACATTAAATTACAACGACTTCTACTTTATTTTATTTTTTAAAATACTTTTCTTTTATGATTATTTTCACTGATTTTTAAATAATAAAAATCATTCTTGTGATTGACTGACATTTTTTAAAATATATATTTTATAGAATTTTATAACAGTTATATTATATATTTATGAAATTTAATTTTAAATTTCAATCCTTTTCGGATAAACCAGAAATATTTATATAAAGCTGACTATATTTTTAATAAAAAAAAACTAATCGTTATTATATTTAAAAATTACATGTCAGCATTATCATTAATATAAGTCATTATTATGTATAAATTTCTTTAACGATAAATTATCTTAAATTATCGACATGATTTATATATACTAAGAAAGCAGAATAATTTGATATATAAGACTGCATTTGGTGAATAGATTTTTCATTTTTTGATACTAATTGTCATAATCAAATGATTCATTTTATAAGTTACATAAAATTGAAGACTTTAATATGATACAATGGCAAAGATTCGTACGATACAAATCTTTTCGTGTCATTTAGCAACTATATCCGGAGGTATCTTTTAAATTACATTCCATGTTATCTTCATTTTTCCTGTTAGTATCAATTTTTTTTTCATTATTTCTCTTCTTGAAGACAGTTTCTATTTCTTATGAAAAATTTATTAATGTGTTTTTTATTATTGAAGAAAGAAAAAGTTTGTTTCAGATAAGGTCTCTTTCGCTTAGATTCTAAGTTAATAATTCGTAAGTTTTGTCATAGTAGCGTGAGTAATATAAGATTGTTTCAATGCGTTCGCTGTAAATGTATCGTATAATTACATTAATACATTGATTTTGACTCGTCACATTGCAGCTTCGTCTGTAACTTAAAATTAATGAAGTGAAATAAAGCATTAACTTAAAATTCATATATATTTATTATACTTCGATTACTCAAAAGAGAACATTTCTAATAAATCGAAAATATATTTTTTTTTGCTTTGTATTTGATTAGTTTTCTAAAATTAATTAAAAAATATTTAAATTCTGAAATTGGGTCTCTATTATAATAAAATTAATAATTTCATCGGTCTCGAAGGTACCTTAATCTCTGTAAACTTTAGCATATTTTATCAGCATCCAATGAAATCTGCATAAGAAGAAAACTCAAGAGACAAAAATAAATTTTTGTTTCATAGAAGAAACTTCACATTAAATTCTTTTGGAGGACACGTCGCATAAAATAGGATTTCGTTTCATACAGTCTCTCTCTATATAAAGCTGTATAAGGATTTAACTTTTCAATTGTTTGACATTTTTTTTATACAGAAAGAATTTATTTTAAATTCCTTACAACGATAGAAATGGATTTAAGTGACAGAAACAGTAATTTCACAAAAATTTTTATTAATAATCTACTTTAAAATTTTTCAAATTAGATATAATAAATCGTATTTTAATTAAATAACAGATTTGAATATTGATTTTAAAAAATAATTAAAAACAAATTTAAATTCGATAAATTTTTGGGAAATAACACATAATTATTTAAAAGAAAAAAAGTTTATTAGAAAGTTGCTTTTTATTGGTTTTAAGAACTGATTAAATAAATCAGTGAGAAATACAGGCGAAATAAAAGGTAGTGGATGCCAATATGTCAAGTAGAGTCATCTAATGGCTATATAAGTTAGAAGTAAAACAGTTGTCTGTCTATTGGTTTTTGAGATAATTCCAATACAACCAGGATACACGAAAACCAGAAAAGTCATCTTGAACCAGGACTGCCATGAAGAAATGAACGTTATCCAGCTATAACTGCCAAACATCTTAGGAATATAACTGCACGCGAGCTTACTTTTGAGTTGTCTGCCGATTCAAGAAAACCTACATTAGAGAAAACTGCTGCCATTTAGCTTGCACGATAGGCAAACCAAATGGCAATAGTTAGGCATGTATTTTAAAATTCCTTTTATTATCTCTTGTTTAAAATGGCAATTTCTTATTTTTACTTTAAGAAATTAACAAAGTGTTAAGGTTATATCAATGAATATTCTATTGTATAAATATAATAATTTTGACTTTCTCAAATATTAAATTAACTTAATTTAATTTTGTATTTAAATTAAATCGCTAATGTAGCGAGTAACTAAGTTACTTTATTTAATTTAGAAATGATTTATATATACGAATGAAACTTAAATTATAAACTTCTAAAGTGAGTAATTTGCTGAATTTAACATTAAATGACTTAAAACAATTTTATACCCGAGAATTTATTTTTGTTTTAATTCTAATTAATTAATTTCGTCTTGTTTGAAATTAATTGTTGGAAAAAATCAATGGTTCTCATTTATAAGAGTTCAAACCAATAAAATTCGAAGGAAGAAATAAAGCATAAAGGAAATCGATGCCACAATAAATTTTATTGAGGATTATTCAAGTTTATGGACATAATAATCATGAAGATTGAGTATACAAATGATTTCTCTGCTTCTCCATTATAATAGCGATTAAGTTGTTTTCAACTTCAAAATCTTTATTGCTTATCGTGAATGGTGGTATTTTTATTACATAGACTTCGTATAAATTCAAATATATTTGCACTACTTTTTATATTATAGATATGCAGTAAAAGCACGAGAAGGATAACATTTATAGTCTCGGATGTTAACTTCTGATAAGTAAATGTTAGAAAAAGTCATGTGTCTATAAGTCATATCAGCTGCATATTAGATTTGTGAAAACTTAAGTAATTGTTTATAATTAAAAAGCAAATTTTAATCAAATATATTTCTACTGATAATGTTATTAATAGGCATTCTTTTGTTAAAACCGACATTAAAATACTCTTAAGTACCGTATAAAGTTCAGTTGCTATTCGTGTTAAGAATGTGATGCATATTTTAATATTCATGAGACATAACCATCATGAATACTAATATTCTTTACAGCTTAATAGTTTTGAAACAACCAAACATTTACATACGATGGATAAACGCAATCGTAATCTCTTCAAAAGTGTAGAAATGTTTAAGTTAACTTTGTTCAGAAAATAAAATGATTATGCTTTTATATATATATATATATTATTTTCATTATTTAAAATAATTAAATTCTCTTGCATCAAGAAATCTAGATTACAATAGATTCCGCTTAAATAAATCGTTTAATTGCTGCAATCAGTTATCAGTAGATACTTTGCTATTAAATGCTCGAGAATAAATTACACTTCGAATAATTTTTTTTATAAATTTAACGCTTCAAAAATGTTACACTAGATTGATTTGATTTATGTGGAGTTTTCTCATTTTAATACACTATAAAGATCAAAACCTGTTCTTTTTTTCAGGTTGCAATTGTGTGGTGTTTGATGATACGTATGGTAAAGAATATGGTGTTTTTACGTCACCCAACTGGCCCGTCCCTTACGAAGACAATATTGATTGTCTTCTGTACACTTTCATAGGACACGAGGAAGATATTGTTGAAATTACTTTCGACGAATTTGATGTCCAAAAGAAGAATTTAGAGTCAGTAAAATATTTTCATTTATCCGAATATAATGCTAATATTTACTATAATTCAAGAAAATACAATAAATTAAATCAATTTATTACTACAGTCTATGAAAAATATCAAAGCTATTGAGAATTGTATGCTTCTTGTTAGGATGAAATACGAATCGAAATAAGCTTTTATTAATCATATTGATTAATTTTTCAAAAAATATTGATGGATTTTTTTCAATAATTGAATGATCATTCAAATAAATCACTCAAATAAGCATAATTTAGTTTTTCGCCTAAATTCTAGCTATTGCTTAAATGATTAACGGTAAAATGTTGTTATATATATTGAGTTTAATATGGGGATATTAAACTCAAAAAATGTAAAATTCTTCAAAAATTTCATTATTAATAATGTCATATTTAATAAGTTATACAGTATTTAAACGTAGTTAACGATATTATTAACGATATAATTTATAAAATTACTAAATTGTCTGAGTGTTTACTTAAATAGGCCTACAGTAAATACAGTATGTTCAAAGACACAATCTAAAATAACTCGTTTAATTAATCATTTACTTCGGTGGCGTGCCGTCATTGGAAGCGGTGGATGCGCTGCTTTCACTGTATTGTCTAAAAAATAAATATATATTAATTTTAATTATATGAAAATAATCGCACAATATTTTATTATAACCGCATTATGTATCTTATTACAAATTTCTATACTACACGTGAAAAAAAATAAGATTGCTATTGTATATTCGAATAATAGTAGCGGAGTGGAAGCGCTATATCGTCAGCATCTAAAAAGCCAGATTCGCGCATGCGCTTTACAGAGCACCAACCTCACCCGGTTTAGCTGGTGGAAGCCTATGACCTTGAGTGGATGCTACACGTATACCGCATTTAATTCTATTCAGGACCGGTTCTGGGCTGTTAGCCGCCTGCCCGCTAGATATTTGGCCGCTTTCGCCCGATTACGTGAACCACGAGTAGATTTATAACTTAACCAAACCGATAAGAATTTACTAGTATGTTTTTATGATAGTTCTGTATAGTTGACAGGAGTTAAAAAATTCATTAAAATATTTAATATTTTTATTCCGCTCTCCGATTTTATATTACTCACGGATTTCAATGTTAAATCAGTGATATTACAATTTCGTATATCCCATCTCTAAGGGGATGTAGAAAAAACGTGTACAATTTTTGTATAATGTTAAAAAATTAACTGTCGCTTTGACATCATCATTTACAACTAAATTTAATGAATGAGAAAGATGCACCAGGTACAGAAAAGACTCTAGAACTTATTTTCTTTAAATTTACGATTTATGTATCCGTTGTCATAAAAATTTGTCTTTCCACTTTTTTCCCAAGACTACAAATATTCGAGTACAAAGTAACCGGTTTCGACTTATTTCTACTTAAGAAGTGGTTAAATAATTAAGCGATTAGGGAATTGGGAACATAAACAAAACCCTGTTGAAAGAGCCGGAATATTACTTAAAAGCTTAACCGACCAAATCTCTAGCCGAATACAGTGGGGACTGATTTCTTCGTAATATTAGATAATAAAGAGAGAAATTTTTCCAGTTCAATGAGAGTGACCGAAAAGTTGTAAATTTTGGAAATTTTCGTGGACCCTGGTCCTAAAACGAATTAGTTAGAAAACAAACGACGGACAATCTATTAAGTTTAACATATTTAGATTTTTACAGCTATGGTGAGAAACGTTTAAAAGTTACAACAACGCTGTCGCGTCCATACTAGTGATGCGACAAAAGAGGCATTTGACATTGACCGGTATCGGCACCCTCGGGATTTGGCAGCCCGTGTGCATGCACCTACCAGGACCGTCTTTGATTCCATCCATTAGTCACTCGTAGGGAGCTATTTGAATAAGGGGATTGTTTTAAGATTTAAAAAGTAAAAAATATTTTATGTTATTTTTATGTACGTGTCTTTACAAAGCTATATTTAATTATAATTTTCTTTAAAAGTATATTAATATAATTGAAGAATATATTGTACCAGGTATGTACTGTATATCCACCACACATTTTATTTCGCCAAATAAGTTTTATTTTTATTTATAATTTTAGCCCTTATATCGTGGCTAGCGACTCAGAATGTAATTGTGATGTTAAAAATACATTTAGGGAAGTCTACGGTGTTTATTGGCTTATCGAACAAACGAATACGAATGGACCCTAGACCAGTATTTCTCAACGGGGGCGATATCGCCCCCATGTGGGCGTTTTTCCATGTTGAGGGGGCGATTAGTAACAATTTATATTTTCGGGGCAAAAAACAATTTTCTGGGCGATATAGTAAAACATTTTATAAAGAATAATTAGATATTTTATTCGTTATATAGTACAATAATTAAACAAATAACATTATACTAGTCACTAGTCTATTCAATGCAGTACGAATTTGGCGTTAGCATTGGCTCTCGGCATCGGAATTTTGAAGTGAAGGGGGCGATACTACGTTGAAGGGTGGAGACGATTCGTTAGAGGTTGAGAAACACTCTTTAGACCATGGGTGGCGAACCTATGGCACGCGTGCTTAAAGTGGCACATAAGGAGAACATAAGGATCTGGCACGTAACATATCATATGATTTTGATTTATCGTTTGTCTTTTTCAATCATTGTTTCATTTATTCTAATTAAAGCATTTTCGTTTAGTTTATTTAAATATCGTTATTCGAAGTTTAAAACTTCGGCACGCATAAACATCTTTAAAGCTAAGTATGCTTACAGTATGGCACGCGGGCTCAAAAAGTTCGCCACCCCTGCCCTAGACTATCACTGACGCGCAATTAACTGATTGCCCCTGGAAGTCGGCTTCTTAAAGAAACACAGCTTCCCTATCATCAAATGTCACAGCACTGATTTACTTAATTTACAGAAATTTTTTGGTGGTGGGTTGTCCCGATATGTCGAACACTACTTGGCCCATTGCGGGTATGACCGAGACGGGTATGATTAGTGCCCGGGCAAAAAGAGTCAAAAATTAAAATAATAATAATTTAGTTAATGCTAAACAAATAAAAATTTATTTTCCAGTATAGGAAGTTAAATATTATATTATATATTCATAAATTCCATATTATATTATATAACTGTATTATTAAAGTAAATTTTTTTTGTAGAAATTAAATGAACAATAAAAAACCCTCTGTAACTTAGTTAAAGTAATTCTAAGTAACTTACTGTAATATATTTATTCTTCTCGTTTTTCGTTTAATTAACACGAATAAATAAAAACTAAATTAATTCGAATAATAAAAGAAAATTGATTAAAACTGTCTTTAGAGTTGATCGTATTCAACAAAATAGCAATACTTCCGGCATTCCTTTGATTAATGTCACAAAAAGTTTAATAAATATTTATTTTAAAAGGTAATTCGGGATGGAAACAAGATAAATGTTGATTTTTATCCTCTTAATTAGTTAAGAAGCATGGATTTTAATCAACGATGAAAACAATTGAACAGAAACATTTTCAAGACTTTATGAGGAAGATAAACTAAATATTTAATTAATGATTAAATGCGTGGAATTGTTTTTCCATAAGCAATAAAATTTTTCTTTCCACTAATTTTAATGTAATTTTATTAATTTTCTATTGAAAAAAGTATCTCACTTTTGATGATTACTCCAATTTGAAATAATACTTAACGAAAATTTCTTTATTTAAATTTTAAACGATAATTAATGTTATATAAATGTAAATATTTACGTTATTAAAATAGTGGAATATTAAAAAGTAATTTAAACATTATGTTATTGATTTTCGTCATTTAAAAAACAAAAATTATAATTAAAAATGACAAACTGTGTTTATTGAAAGAACAGAAACGATTATTGTTAAACTGTGCTTTCTATTTCATAAAAATTTTCATGTGGGCTTTAAAATGATATCTAAAATCTTAAAAAATATATTTTCCAGTTTAATTTTTTAGGTTTTAAATAAAAAAAATGTCTGAATTGATGTTAAAATTATTAATAGGCCGAATAGCCGAATTGGTTAAGGCGTCAACCTATCCTTCTGAGAATCCGAAATCGAATTCAGTTTTTAGAAAGTTTTTGGGGATGGTCTATCTCAAATATATGGGAACCCTTTCCTCATCCCTATTGTGTCTGGCAGAACCCATAATGAGTATGATCCTCTTAATGCTCGGAGGGCTGAATAAAAAAGTATATATATTAATATCCACTAAGCCATTAAAATTATCTAAAATAAACAGATATTTACATCATTACAATTAATTTTAACCATCCAAAATTTCATATTTACTTAACATATTCTATTTTTTTTTCATTTTATAATAAAATATTTTTCTAATTAATGTAACAAGTAATTAATTTGCTTTTTACTAGCATATTTTTCTCACATAGCAAAGAAACATTTTAATGTAAAAAGAAAGCTTTTTTTATATACATAAAAAGAATCTATCTCTTATCTGCTTCAAAAATTTCTGAATTGTTTCTTCTTTCATATTAATTAGTGTGCGTCAAGAACAATCTTTTTGTAACGATAAGTTTTTCGAATATGATTTTTGTTTTTCGCCAGATGTATCTACGGAGATTACGTCAAATTGTTCCTTCACTTGGATGAAGCGGGAGTGAACGAACAGAGTCCATGGAACATCGTCCTCTGTGGGAAGATAGCAGATATAGAACAGACTCATTACTCCTCAGGGAACAGCCTTATCTTTGAGTTTCATTCAGACTGGCAAAATGGAAACAATACTGGATTCCGTGGAACATACAGGTTTCTAAGCAAAAGTAAGACATTCCATACTTATCTTTAAACATTTAAATTGCATTATATGGATAGAACTAATTTTACAGAGATTTCTATCACGGATTTAACTAGTTTTCTAAATATACAGATAAACATTTTCTAATTTATATATTGACTACTTAACATCATCTATCAGATTATTCTAGTAGATTAACTAATATGCCGTGTTTTAAATTTACAATTTTGCAAACTAAAACTTTTTGATGTAATATTTTTCTGTTCTTTTATATTATTTGACTAACGAAGTTAAATAAATTTATCCTTGAGTATTTTACGTAGTAAATAAGCTTTAAGATTTTAAATAATTTAACTTCAAAACATCATTTATAATACATGATTTACATATGAGGTTTTATCTTTTATAATATATGGATATGCATTATGATGTTTTATAGTTCTAATAAATAAATTCCAGTAATTTAAAGTTTAATTCTTAATCTTTTATAATATATGGATATAGCCTTTGATGTTTTATAGTTCTAATAAATAAATTCCAGTAATTTAAAGTTTAATTCTTAATATTTCATCAAACTTTAAATTAAAAACATTTTTAGTTTTAGCTAATTAAAAGAATGTTTCATCAAACAGTATATAGTTGACTTGTAATTGAATGTTCTCTTGTCAGATTTTTTCTTTTTCTTAATCTTTGAAGTTAAATGAATGATATTTAAGTTACCAATTGGCACTGCTTTCAATGCAGCTTATACATTATGTTCCAAGGCAGTACCATTGTATAGCAAAGGTTGGTATATGATTTCACAACTCAAAATCAAACAAACATGGAAATATATTGTCTACTACGATTGTTCATTCTAACTACAGTAATTATAATTTTCATTATTTTAGTCTTTATATGAAAGATGTTTTCTATTTCCTGATTGAAAAAAAAAAAANAAACATCATTTATAATACATGATTTACATATGAGGTTTTATCTTTTATAATATATGGATATGCATTATAAATTACATGAGTTACAACTTTCCTTCAATATTATTATTTCTTAAATTTAAAAATATTTTATAAAGAAAATCATATAAAAAATGGTAAAGCTGTTGCTTCACAGGACTTTATATAAGTTAGGCTATATAAGTATGCGATCTATTATTCATTTTTTAATTCAGAAAGCTTAGAAATATGTTACATGCATAGAAAAATTGGAAATTTCGGTTGCAGAGGATGTACAGTACTTCTCTAATCTTAAACTAAATCCTTGTTTAACAGTAATAGAAAGTTTCATAACTTAAACATACGTTATATTTAAGTTTCTGGTATAAAATTATAAGAAAATTTCTGATTAAGAATAAATTTTTGATAGGTATTAGTATACTTAGAAAATATATTTACGTTTGTAATACGATGATTTCTCGTATGTTATGTAAGATAATGCCAATATAATATCATTTAAAATTCATACATTTTTAAATTACAAGCATTTCAAATTATATATTTTTTAATTTATCAGTTCATTTCGCAAAGAAGAGATTCTTTTAAGAAAAGTTTCACAGCTTCTGCACAATATAGCAATCATTGTTTCCAATAATCCTGTTAACCTTGCAACACAACCACTACTTCCTTTCCATTGGATTTTCTTCACTAGTGTCTAATGTTATTTGCCAACATCGCTCTTTATCTTTATAGGGATTAATAGCAAGGTTAACTACAATTCTCATAAAAGTATCTATTTTTCCATGTGATACTAAAAACAGAATTATTCGTTTCTGCTTAAAAAATTCAACGTTAACGTTATATATACATTTTAAAATGATAACTAAATATACAATGTCACAATCTAAATATAAGTAGAATTCATTTGATTGTATTTCATTTTCTGTATATTTTTCAATTTAAATTGAAATGTTAATTTTAAAAAGTATATTTTGTTATTCTGAGAATTACATGTCAATATATTCATAGAATTTTTTAATATTCATTATATTTGTTTAATGGAAATAAACTGCAAGAAATGTTAAAACAATAGTCTTAGATAGTTGTTTCGTTGTAATTCACATGTCTATTATGTTTTTGTGAAGGTTTTGTTTGTTACAACAAACTTATCCCACACTGGGCTGATTGGAGATAGACAATGCGGACACAGCGGGATGCATCGTTGTTATCATTGGTACAAACCACCGAGGGAATTGTACAACTTTTCTGTTGTAACTTATCGATCTTGCTGACTGCAGAAGAAAAAAAAAAATATAACATCTTACCTGAAATTCTTTAGTGAAAATATCAATGTTGAAAGGTTTCGAATGAATTTATTATGTCAACTGATAAATTCTTTGCAAGAATGCATTTCGATTTCATTTCCTACTTCCTAAGTGTATTTATTGTTAATTTGTTTCACTTTGATATTTTTATGAAATTACGAAATGAATCGAAGCATATTCAACTTTAAATTTACGCTACAATATAAAAGTAAAAACATTTTATTTTATAACGAAAGAAAAATGAATTTCTTCCTCAGAAGAATGGAATTTTTTGTCTTAATAAAATACATCTAGTAAAATTTTGAAATTTTAAAAGATATGTTTGCATAAATTATTAATATTACATTTCTTTATTTTTATGTTTCGGTGCATTTCACGTTACATTATTATGGCATTAATATGAGAATTTTGTTTTATTAAATATTTGAAATGTCTCGGCTTGCTGTTTATTGTCGGTCATTCTTTGTTGAATGAAAAAGAAACTTTTAATAAAATCCTTTCTTCAAATATTTGACTGAGAACATTTCCTTTTAATAAACAGCATTTAACAATAAAATTTTTGCAGTTGATTTCTGCATTACTTTATAGAATTTGTAACATATTCATCCAGATAAATCTTGTTTTGATTCAACGGTGCATCATTCTTGCATCAAGAACTAGCTCATTCTTCCGTAAAGAAGTCAGAAGATTCCTCTTTCTTCACATTTCGCCTAACCACCATTATTAATTTTCAGTCTTAGTTACTTTAATTTCCAAGCCAATGGACGGTTTCACACGCCATGGTTCACAAAACGTCATTTTTCCCTTATTGACATTTATAGGCCTCTTCAGCAGTACGGTATTCTGTTGTTGAATAAAAACTATTTAAGAAAAAAAGAAAACAGGCTAAGTGCCAGCTGTCGAGCACTAGCTAAAGCGTCTCAACGAGATCGCCATGGAAGAAATATTTTTTCCTATTTCCATCTTGTGGTAACACTGGATGCATTCGTCCATAATAAGAGTTCTTATGTAAATTAAAAGAAAAGCATAGCATTTAAAAATCGCATTTTCTTCTTTTAAAAGAATTTAGAGCATAAACTTCTTTTAATCTGCTTGATTTATTTCATCAGCGGCTTTCAGAGAATTGTTTGTCCAGATATAAATCCTATGTGGATCAACTTTTGCTTTTGTTTTTTAAAAGTCAACAGATCAATTCCAGAACAAATGTGATTTCCAGAAACTGCTTATATAACTTTGTTTATTAGTAATGCTAAGAAAATAATTTAAAATTTTAAAATTATAATATTGTAATTGAAACTTTTTTAAAATACAAGCAAAAAATATAGAAAAAATTTTTATCTAAAATTAATTCTCTTTCGATATATAATTCTAAAATGACTTTTTAAGAATTATTTTGAAAATATTTCTTACTAAGCATCGGTTACACAATTTTATATTTTAATTAGTTTTAATGAAATGCTATAATTACAAAAAATTAATATTGAATTTTATTATTTCTGCTTTGAATATTTTACTTAATTCCTTTGTTTAAAAATTTTTCAAGATTTGTCCTGTTTTATTATAGGCTATATGAAATTTAAGTTAATAAAAGTATACGTTAGACATTAAAATAGTTGCCTGTTAATTGTTAAATTGTTTAATTGTTGGCCTCTTTGTGCTCTATGAGCGGTAAGGGGCCTAAAACCACAAAAAAAAACAATATTATTTCATATTGGCATGTATTTAAAATAGATAAATACGTTTACTGAATGACTAGTCATTTAAATTAATATTTTATTTCATTTACAACAGCAAGCAAAACTGATCAAAACAGGAATATATTAGATCTATTTGCTTATACTTTTTAATTGTTTATATTTTAAATTTTTAGAATGGCAAATAAACAAATTAAAGTATAGTATTATTTAATTTAGTAATTCGAAGAAGAAATTGAAAATGATTCTTTTATTTGTTCATATTTACTCGAAAGAATTTCTATTTCCAAAGTAAATAATTCCGATAATTGGATATCACAAGTTTAATAGGTAAATAGATAAAAGTATTGAAATCATAAGTGAATTAAAAAAGTAAGTAATAAATATTATTACTTCTTTTTTAATATTAAAAGTAATTTCAAAATGCATCTTTTTATACATAAGTTATTAAATAATATAGAGAAATTTTTCGTCTCGTTAATAGTGTAAATCTAAATATATTATGACTTTTTTAATTATAATTAAAAATAGTAGACCTACTTAATATTTAAAAAGTCTAGAAAATAAAATTATTTTTGTTATGATACAAATAAAAGTTTATATTTATTGAGACGCAAGAATCTACTAGGCTAATATAAATATAAAGATTTATTTTAAGCTTTAATAATATTAATATAAGATAATAGTAGTATTTATTATTTAAATATAATTTAAGTAACTCTATTATTTTTTTGATTGGTGACGTTTTCAGCGTATTAAAAAAACTTAATATTTTATAAAATAGTTGAATAAAATACAATAATTATATAAAATATAATATAAGACTTTTTATATTTAAGAAATTTCATTTTTGTTAATTGAAATTCATTTTATGGTTAACATTTTTATAGTTAGAACATTAAAAATAACATAAATATTACAAATCATTTGAATTTCGTGTGAAACTTTATAAATGTTTCGAAATCTAATTAAAATTTTTATGGATTCTAATTATATTTATTACAAATCATAAGGCTAATTAATATATATTAATATCTTCATATTAACAGCATCACATTTCTCTCTTATAGATTATCAGAATATAGTAATGTAATTTTGCTAATTGTATTAATGTATTAACCAACTCGAAAATTATCAAGATAATTTCTAACTACATACATTATGAAAAGATGTTTTTTCCCAACGATTGCACTAGATATAGAAAATCTGAATGCAATATTGCATACTCCATATAGGACTAGACTAAATGTTTTATATAGTGAATAAAAGAAAAGGAATGTGAGAATGGAACAGATAATGAGATTAAAATGTTTTTGATCTCGAGAAGATTAGATGAGAAAGATGTGAAGCAGATGAGATGAAAATGAAAAGAATGAGGGCATAAAGATGGAAGAGGTAGGAAGAACGCATTATACAGAACATCGAATAAACAATTTCCGATGGATGAAGAAGACCCTAAAAAAAAAAAAAAAGATGATTGAAATGGACAAAATCAACAACGACAAAGATGCAAAAAATGGCAATCGTCTTAAATTTAATAAAACAAATTTAACTACAGCTTAATGTAAAATAAATCCTGTTCTAAACAGTGCGAATAGTTAGGAATTTTAAAAATTAAATGATACGAAATCCTTTAAACAAAAACAGAAGCATTCATTCATCCAAATACATTTAAATTTATATTTAAAAAAGCATAAAGATTTTCACTTAACCGAAAAAACAAAAATAAATATTAAAATGAAACTTGTTTTTTTTATAACACTTTCTATTTTGTTTTGAGTTCTAGAAATCTTCAGAAATTTGATAAATTATCGACACGTATTTAATAATAAAATGCAGATTTTAAGATATTATCAAATTAATCTTGCGTTTTAAACTAGTAAACTCTTTAAAATCGGTTTGTTGAAAACTATAAAATAAGTTTAGTAGTCGAGTAATTAAAATATACATCAGATTGATACGTATTGTGAGTAAAATATCTCTCCATTCGTCGATCGTTAATTAAACAATATCTGTTGAGCAACAATACAATTCAGCAGTTATTCTCAAGTAATGATTTTTAGTAGTTAATCATCAATCTTGTCGGCACTTACTCTATAATAATCACGAGTATCATTATTACAGTTTCATATTTCTAATAATGTATCCACTTTATTAGACTCATCTAACTTAGAAACAAATAAAATTTAACTATCGTCCTCTACTACATAAATACCAGTAATACTTAATAACCATTTTAGATATGTATTAATTCTTGATAGTCATAAAATATTATCTGATGGCCATCATCGCTGACTGATGACGTCATCAGTCACGTGGCTTGGGGGCATTACCATGAATGATAGGAAAAGAGTGAAGGAAGATCGAAGGTCCATTATGTGGATTTTATGACTCATTTTAGGATGCCAATTTGGATTTTTATTGCCTAGAAACGACGTTTTATAGGATCGTGGCAAATGTTTTACGTAGCTTTACGAAACCGCACTAAGTCTTACAAACAGCATCCAATACTCTGACATCTGTTATTATTTCAATCCAATTATAAAGGCAGTCTACGTTTCGAGGATTATAATGTTTTTTTTACGATATCCACTTCTTTCGGACTCCATATTGAATTCTTGATAGTACTGTTGATATAAAGATAGATGAGCTTCTTACAGACGTTATTCCTTTTAATATTTACGTTCGGATGTTCTGGAAGCGGTAAATTAAAGATCAACATTCTGTTCTAGACTGCGAAATGAGGGACAGTAACCGAGTGTCTGGTTTATCTCGATCTCTCAAGGACATAAAATCTTCATAAAATCATAAGGTGAATGTAAAACGTCGAAGCTACTTATAAAATTCGGCAAAACTATCTGCTTGCCATAAATTTTTGACAAATGAGTAACGTGTATAACTTTTCTTATGAATTATGATGCTTCGTAAGAAAATGTAAATTATATCTTAAATATTTCTATTGAAACTTTAATTTTATCGATTCGTCTAACCTTTATTGATTCAATGCTTTTTTTTTAACGTTTATTAAAATTATAAGTTAATAAATTTTATCTTTTAATGTTTTTCTAAATACTCTTGGATTTTTTTTATATTTAAATTTTTAAATGATGTTTCTATTTATTTTTTAAATTAAATTTGTCTTTATATTTAACTGTATAATTATCTGTATTTTTGTATAATTTTAATTAAATTAATCGGAAAAGTTTATGTATAAAATTATTATTAAATTTTTTTTCGTTTTGTTAAGTATATTCTTGCATCGAAAGTTCTGACACTTCAATTTTTCAAAGCTTACTTCAATATTCTAAAATTTTGATAGTTATCTGCATAATTTAGAGTTTAACACAACTTTATGTTCAATTTCAAGCTTGGAAGATCTGTAGGATTTCGATGAAAATTTTGTTACTTCGAAAGATGTGACATTCGAGTTTCCATCAAAAAATACATATAAAATATTACAAGTTTGGTTTTTATAGACTAAACTTATTATTTATTACTGGTTCGAGTTTCTGCCTGTCATGTACGAGGAGATATTTTTGCTTTCGATGAATGCCATTGACGTTCATTGACCACGAACATTATTGATGATCTCGATTAGTCCCAAGAGCATTTCTACAACAGAAGGTAGAGTGACTTAATAGTCTATACATAAGCTAAAATTGAAGGTAATAAGACCTTATCTCGACTTCATCGAAAAATTTTATTAGTGTCGATCAATATTAAGCGATTTAATTTAATTTTAGGAAACAGGAGTTCATAAATCTAGAGCTAATTTATCATTTTTGCTATAAATATATGCTGTTTACTTATAAACAATTCTATTAATTTTACGCCTTTTGTTGAGAATAAAAGCATTATTCAAACAGAACAAAAGAGTTAAATATCCTTCAGAATTTAGAAAATTTTATCTTTATGAAAAGATTTAATCGAATTAGTAGACATTCTGCTCTTATTTAAATTATGACATTTCAACGACGTTTAATTATAATAGTTGAATGGTTGGCTTTATCGAACACCTGTAATTATGAAATTTAAAATGAATGTATGAGAGCCAATAATATACTATTTGTGGTCGTGTCATACGCTTGTCCGCTGAAGACAGGTTTATTGTAAATTGCATCCTTCAATCAATTTCTAGAATAAAAGGCGCTCGTTTTCTGGATAGGTGCCATCAGATGTAAGTAGTAATCTAGACATGTTCGTTCCATATGTTTTAAAGAATTTTTTTTAGAAATTTGTTAATCTAGCAAAGTAAAGAAAAAACTATGAGTGATGAGATTTTAATGTTTGAATACTTTAAAAGCGATTAATAAAAATTATTCTTATGCAATGATCTTAATATAATTAAATTAATTATATATTCATCTTGTTTTCGAAACATAAGATTTATGAAAATTTTATTTAAAAGTATGATAAGTAGTTCTTAATTATTTCATATAAGTTTATTTATTTAAATTTTTTAACAGAAAAACTAAGAACATTTTTCACGTTGTTTTTATAATTAAAAAATTTTTTTTAATAAAAAATGGTAAATTTTGCTGTTTAGGTAGTTCAGCTTCTTCATATTTCACTAGTAAAAGCTAACAAAAATATTATATTAGTCCACTTATATACTGAAAGACTCTTTTGGCTTTAAGAGAGCACTCAAAATGTCATTTATCTACGTGAACAGGGATAGAATAACTCACCTAGGTAGTTAGGAATAGTCATTTTTTTAAATCGAAAGAAAAAAAAACTTATTCTAGAATACTTTCTATCAATACAAGATTCAAGGAATGTTTTACGTGACATTATTTAGGATTCATTTACAAGATGTCATTATCGCCCCTGTTTGCATCACTTTTCACCATTAAAGCAACATCTACACACCCTTTGATAAATATTTCTCTTCGGTCTGTGACAAGTACGTGATAAATTGCCATTTCTAGACTTTTCCGAAACTTGGACTGTTACTCAGAAAAACGTTTTTTCCCCGACTTCTTTTTCTTCTTTTCTTCTAAGTTTTTCTTTCTTCTTTCGTTCAGCTGGTGTTGATTACGACAGAGAATTGTTGGAAACGTGCATAGAAATCGAATGTTGCATTCATCTTCTCTATCTTAACAATAGAATACAAATGTATTATTATTTTCTCTTCTAAATAAATTCTAACTTTATAAAATAATAATTTAATATTTAATATATTTGTCAAGATTATTATTTTATTTTTCCGTTTTAATTTTTTTAACAAATAAATAATAAGTTATAATAAATTAACGTAATTTATTTTATAGTCTTGTGAAAAAGATGTATTTTTAGTAGATAAGTTGTTTAATATTTATATAAAACTGGTCTTAAAAGTTTAATTTAGTTAATTACTTCATTTTTATAATAGCGGCTACCATTTGTTTCCTCATATTATCCATAAAAGTGACATTTATATTTCTTTCTTTCGCAGAACTGTTTGAGATTGATGGTGAATTGCTTCACGCTAGCACTTGTGACTATCAATTTATCAGCACAAATGGAAGTCGGAGCAGGGGTAAATTTTATTCACCTCAGTATCCGAGTACTTATCCTCAAAATACTCAGTGCGCCTATCATTTCATGGGCAAGTATAATGAGAAAGTCACTATTATGTTCGAACAAGTACGATTGCAAAAAAGCGATTTAAGGTATTCGTTAATTATTTTTAATTCATTTAATGATTATTTAATTGAATAAAATTAAAATTAAAATTATAGCTGTTATTCTGTTTACATTATTAACTATTAACGTGATTAACGATATATATAGCTATATAAATTAATGATATATCGATTTTTGCAGTTGTTTGCACAGTCCTGATGTGATTAGGGTTTATGATGGAAAAGACGGAAACAGTCAGCTGATAGGCCAAATATGTAATATCAACATGTTTACGGAATTAGTATCGACGGGTCCAGATCTTTATATTGAATTTGCTAGTGAAAGTCATTTTCCTGGTCCTGGTTTCAAAGCTACATTTCTTTTTGAGGAAGATACTTTAAATGTTGGAGGTCCTATCGAAATACCTTCTACAGGTTTGAATCTTATATTATAAATATATCTTATATATCTAAACAATATGCTGTAAATCAATTCTCATACCGTTCTCAATATAAATCTTAAATCTTTGCCTTTTTGTAGGTATTAATTATTTTATTTCGTTAATAAATTCTTACTTAAAGAGGTAAACACTTAGGCCTATATTTAAAAATTTTTAATTTATTAAATATTATATAATTTTTAAAACTGTTATTAATTGATTATTTTAAAAATTAATTTTTTGTTAAATTTTATTATTTAAGCACTTAAATTTAATTAATTATTTAAATTTATCTTGCAAAATATTTATTTTTTTTTTGTAAAAATAAATGCAATAAATCAATGTAAGATAAATCTAAAATGAAAAATTTAAGTAATTGGAGACGATACAAAATTGACACAAATTATAATATTAATCATACAAAATTAATTGTCTCTGGAGATTGCGTGGGTAAAAGTGCTATTCAAAAAAGTCTTTTGTAGTTAAAATATTTTATTAGATTTTACAGCAGAATACATTTCTCGACGAATTATTTTATCGCATATTTTTATTGGTATTATAAAATTGAATAATATTATCGACACTCTATTATAGTTAGTGTTGTGTAATTTAGAACATATTTTAAATTTTTAAAAATCAAAAATATTCAAAAAAGGTTTATATTTTTTCCTTGATAAAAATTCGAATATTGTCTAAAATAGATTAGATATTGCTTTGAAAAAAATCTTGACTTCTATTTCTTTTGTCATCCTGTCATATCAAATGTATTGCTCTTCCTTGAGAATTACTATATCAGATACTTTGGTATTTCGTCTTACTTTCCTAATTCTTTAAACTTCTCCATGGGAATTTTATATATTAAAAATATTTGTTTTCTACTTTATTATAAAATTTCAATAAAACAATTTTCTTTTTTTATTTTTAAATTTTATTTGCGATTTAAATTATACTATTAGAAATAAAAATAACAAAATTGTAGAAACAAATGTGTCAGTAAATCTATGAAATATTCTAAATATAACGGCATTAAACTATGATTTATAATATATACATATATATTTTTACAATAATAAAATTTTATAGGTAACATTTTTCTTGCAGCATGACGTGCAAACTCTATTATGATAAGTTTGCTTTCTAAAAAAAAAAGAAAAATATTAAAATATTTTGGCTAAATTATTGGAATTGGGACAAATCAGCAATTTAGATATCTAGTAAGATAAAATAAAAAGCAATACCCTAAAAAAAGTAAATGTTTTACAATAAATGTTGATAAAATTAACGTTAATTAATTAAAATAATGAAAATTTAAATATACAGTGTGCTTCAAAAAATGTTAACACAAATATAGAAGTAACTTGTTCTGTTGGATTTGTACTGGCAGTTTTCTCTTTGCATATTTCATTTGTAAGAAGTCACGACCTAATAGTGAAGTTCTCAAAAATTACGGCTCTATTATCCCTGCCACATTGACTTCGCACTTTTTCTATATAAGTGTTAACATTTTTTGAAGCACCTTCTGCCTTGTGTAGTGTATATAAAGACATAACCTATACCTCTACAGTTTAATTCATGCATTGAAATATAAAAATCTTTTATAACTTTTATTCGTGTATTTGCAAAAATATTTGAATTAGAAAAGAATATAAAGTTTGAAAATTATACAGCTTTACCTTAAATATGCAATAAAATGAAAGTAAATTTTTATCTATTTAAATTTTAATAAATATTAATATAATATATACATTTTAAAATGATAACTAAATATACAATGTCACAATCTAAATATAAGTAGAATTCATTTGATTGTATTTCATTTTCTGTATATTTTTCAATTTAAATTGAAATGTTAATTTTAAAAAGTATATTTTGTTATTCTGAGAATTACATGTCAATATATTCATAGAATTTTTTAATATTCATTATATTTGTTTAATGGAAATAAACTGCAAGAAATGTTAAAACAATAGTCTTAGATAGTTGTTTCGTTGTAATTCACATGTCTATTATGTTTTTGTGAAGGTTTTGTTTGTTACAACAAACTTATCCCACACTGGGCTGATTGGAGATAGACAATGCGGACACAGCGGGATGCATCGTTGTTATCATTGGTACAAACCACCGAGGGAATTGTACAACTTTTCTGTTGTAACTTATCGATCTTGCTGACTGCAGAAGAAAAAAAAAATATAACATCTTACCTGAAATTCTTTAGTGAAAATATCAATGTTGAAAGGTTTCGAATGAATTTATTATGTCAACTGATAAATTCTTTGCAAGAATGCATTTCGATTTCATTTCCTACTTCCTAAGTGTATTTATTGTTAATTTGTTTCACTTTGATATTTTTATGAAATTACGAAATGAATCGAAGCATATTCAACTTTAAATTTACGCTACAATATAAAAGTAAAAACATTTTATTTTATAACGAAAGAAAAATGAATTTCTTCCTCAGAAGAATGGAATTTTTTGTCTTAATAAAATACATCTAGTAAAATTTTGAAATTTTAAAAGATATGTTTGCATAAATTATTAATATTACATTTCTTTATTTTTATGTTTCGGTGCATTTCACGTTACATTATTATGGCATTAATATGAGAATTTTGTTTTATTAAATATTTGAAATGTCTCGGCTTGCTGTTTATTGTCGGTCATTCTTTGTTGAATGAAAAAGAAACTTTTAATAAAATCCTTTCTTCAAATATTTGACTGAGAACATTTCCTTTTAATAAACAGCATTTAACAATAAAATTTTTGCAGTTGATTTCTGCATTACTTTATAGAATTTGTAACATATTCATCCAGATAAATCTTGTTTTGATTCAACGGTGCATCATTCTTGCATCAAGAACTAGCTCATTCTTCCGTAAAGAAGTCAGNCTAATAAACCCAAATAAATTAACTATAAAAATTTAAAAAATCATTGTTATTTATTATTAATAGTTTTGAAATAATCAGGGCAGTGGAGTCACGTAAAAATCTACCGACTCCAACTCCGACTCCGGCCAAAACACCAAAACTCCACGACTCCGACTCCGAATCCACAGCCCTGGAAATAATGATTTTTTTTACCTTTGATTTTTCTTTTATAAAAATATGAAATTCAGTTTAAGAAATTTATTATTTTTGCTTCATGGATCATTTCCGTTACAATTCCAAAATACATACAAAAAAATATATTTTTACATTATTTAAATTTAAGTTAATATAAGCAAGAATCGATGATTAAAAAGATAAAGAAGATTAAAATAGATAGAAAAAAGATAGATAATAAACATTATTTTCGCTTGAAAATGTTTATAACTTTATGTTAAATCAATTCATAATTTCATACAAACTTTCTGCAACTCTTTACAGAGAGTGCAATATAAAAGGATAAATATATAATAAATGTTTAAATATTTAAGAATGGTTGCTGATGATAACGATGTTAAACAAAGATCGTTACTAATGATAATGGTGTTACAACGTTGAACAAAGACATTAAAGATATAGGATCACATTTTCCAATTATATTATCGTAATTCATGTTATGATGGATATCGTTTCTATTTTTATTTTTTGATTTTGAATATTATTTCGAAATAAAGAACTAAAATTTTACTTGTAAAAGATTAATTTCGCTCTAAATTTGATTACATTTTTATCGAAATAAATTATTTTAAAATTATTTATTGTTATGATTTTCATCTGTTATTTTTTTAACTGAACAAGTTTGCTATTGTTTTTCTAATTTTTTATTCTAATATTTATGAATGTAATCTGCATTCATAATACAGTATCTAATCTTACTGGTATATAAAATCAATTATAAGATTTACTACATTTGATTTATATGTAACCATCATATCCAGGGTTAATTTAATTATAATCCTTACTTTCATCAAACGATGTAAATACATATTTAATATGTTATAATTTTTGTTATTCTAATAAAAATCAATTTTTAATATCTGCATATATATTATAAATTTTTAAAAATTTAAATACATCTCTACCAAATGATATCCCGCAACGATGTGATTTAAAGATTTTTTTCCTATTGCATATTTAAATTACTTTTTACAAAATACTTTTAAAAAGCATATCGTATTTTAGAATGTTGAAGAAATATTTTGTATTTAATTTACTACAAAATATTAGAAAAATAATTTATTTTATTGTTGATAAAGGAAAAAATTTAAGTTTCGAATATTTGAAAAAAATACGTGAATAATATAGAAGTTGATTTCACAGCCTTATGGATTATTTCTTCTGTATCTTCTACGTTTATATCCGTAAATTATATGTCAAAGGTAATTTTATAAATATTTTACTAAATAATTCATAACAAATCTTTATTTTATCCTGACTGGAATTCCCACCTTGATAGTAAATTCATAATATTTCTTTTAGACTTAGAAAAACTTTATATTTCTCTTAAAATATTTAAAAGAATTTTCATTTTACTATTTTTGTAATTCCTGTTATTTTTCTTCTTATTCAATTACTTACATTCAGTTCGATAAACACTAAAAACTAACTTTTCTACTTGATATGAGATTCAACTGAGATCGAAGCCGGACTCTCCAGTGACATCCAGGAATCAATATTCTCTCAACCATTCAATGATTCTTTTATTTTGATTACTTATTACCGAGTCAATTACTTGGGATTTACTTTTGACAAGCGATTTATTTTGTAAACATTAATTATATATATTTGTTGTATTGATTATTGTGTGTTGAATATAGACATTCTACAAGTTAAATTCATTTAGAACTTTTATAGAAAAAATTTCTTTTTGTTTTCTGAAATAAATTGAAAAATATACCAATTTATTTATTGCATATAGAACTACAAAATATATAAAATTACAATAATGTATCATGAAACAAACAATAATAATTGGAAATATTATAAGAGAAACGTATATATTGTCGTAATAAGATTTAGATAACAATTTCTTCTAGTGTATAGGTTTACCTTTAATATCGTTATATTCTCATAATGCATCATTTTTGATAGCACTTAACATTTTATTCACAGAGCCAGACAACGGTGGCCAGAAGATCCAGCCCACTTCTTCCCAGCCAGGTAAAGAAAAAATTGTTTCCCTATTTCTTGACGTTTATGTGTTTTTCTTGAGTTATATATGATCCTATTTTAGACCATTATCTGAAAGAAAAAGGCCAATGGCTGACCGAACGCTGCGAGGCACTTTATGACCTAACAGCGTTACTTGTATAGAAAATTGGTACAATGTGAATGACGCCATCTTTTCTTCCATCTTATATGTACCTGTACATCTTTTTATTCCGACAAAAATTTATTGACCAAACGTTTTTAGTTTTTCAAAATTCAAAAATTATATTAAAGTCTTCTTAATAAGATAATTGAGTACTTCTGGCTGATAAGTATATTAGGAGCATTTAGTTACAAAGATTATTCGATATATATTTTAATAGGTAAATTTGAGAAAAAATTTATTTTTTATATATGATAAAACAGATATTTTTGGCGCCATGGTCTGTTTTTTTGATTGATTGTACATCGTGATGACAGTTGAACATTATATAGTTTGGTTAGTTTGAGCGAAGGTTTCGGATGATCGAATTTCTTTGAAATTCAAACCAGAAAAAATAAAGAATGATCATAATGCTTTAACCGACTGTAGAAAAATGAATAATGTCTTCTATGAACTTGTTAGAATCCTGAAAATCGGATCATCAAAAGTAATGATGCAATGCACAATAAAATTATATCATATTTGTTACATAGATTTAGTAGTTTATAAATATTAATTTATAATAAAAGAAAATAAATTTATGAAGAAATACAATTTATTAAAAAACATTTTTTAAAACAGATAATTACAGTGAAGCTCCGAAAATCCGTGGTCAGACCCTATCCGGATTTTCAAACATACGTGTAAATTAGCATTTTAAATACTAATAAACCCAAATACACTGTAAATCAAGTTTAGGTGTTCTAAGTTCAAGCCAGTATTTCAGAAATAATGTAGGAATATTTACAAAGGTTCCAAATTATAATTTACAGAATCACCATATTTAAAAAGAAAATACATTGATCATAATTTCAGAATTTAAAAGTTCTGAATTCTGAATGGATGTTAGAAGTTAAATCAATTCATAATTTCATACAAACTTTCTGCAACTCTTTACAGAGAGTGCAATATAAAAGGATAAATATATAATAAATGTTTAAATATTTAAGAATGGTTGCTGATGATAACGATGTTAAACAAAGATCGTTACTAATGATAATGGTGTTACAACGTTGAACAAAGACATTAAAGATATAGGATCACATTTTCCAATTATATTATCGTAATTCATGTTATGATGGATATCGTTTCTATTTTTATTTTTTGATTTTGAATATTATTTCGAAATAAAGAACTAAAATTTTACTTGTAAAAGATTAATTTCGCTCTAAATTTGATTACATTTTTATCGAAATAAATTATTTTAAAATTATTTATTGTTATGATTTTCATCTGTTATTTTTTTAACTGAACAAGTTTGCTATTGTTTTTCTAATTTTTTATTCTAATATTTATGAATGTAATCTGCATTCATAATACAGTATCTAATCTTACTGGTATATAAAATCAATTATAAGATTTACTACATTTGATTTATATGTAACCATCATATCCAGGGTTAATTTAATTATAATCCTTACTTTCATCAAACGATGTAAATACATATTTAATATGTTATNCACCATATTTAAAAAGAAAATACATTGATCATAATTTCAGAATTTAAAAGTTCTGAATTCTGAATGGATGTTAGAATATCAACAACGCGATTAGGGCTAAAAGAACACAGGTCGAAAATGAAGTTACCATTTAAAAGAGTTAATATCTATTTTCTTTTATATAATATTTAACATTTTAATTTTTTCATATTAAATTTTTTTTTTACCATAGAATATAATAAAAATAAAATACTGTTTATTATAATAGCACGATATATTTCACTCCATTATACTTATAATAGAAAAACAGATTTATTTTTAAAGAATAAAAGAGAATCTTTTAAAATAAATTATCATAATTTCTTTACTTATTTTATGCTCATTTCAAATATTTAAATTTAAGACTTTACTTAATAAATCAAATTGTTTTGAATATGTTAATTCGAATAAAAACTTTGAATTTTCTTTAAAGTCATTTCTATGTAAATTTAGAATGAAAAAGCATTTCTCAGAAAACCGAAACACTTAATAAAGTTCAACTGGCGAGAAGTAATCCGTAAGTTAAACAAGGTTTAACTACTTTAAGGACAACAAACAATTCAATATCGTCATTGAAACGTCATGTTTACAAAAACCCCAGATTGTAAGAAGTCCAGTTAGACTTCTCCGAAAAAGTAATGTGCTATACATCTGGTGTCATATACCTAACAGCAACATTTCCATGCAAACGAGCAATAACATTCCCTGCTAGATTTTAGTAACTAAAGCCAAGTAACTGTATAAGGTTAGACCGTGAAATACGATAGTACTTATAAACCTGCTGAAAGGACTATATTCTAGATTGGAAAGACAAGTTTAAGCCCCTTGGTAGATTGGTTTTGTTGGAAATGAGCAAAGATATGTCATGAATGCATTCAAGACGCTTATTCGCTTATCCTTTCAAATATGTTTTATGAGTTATTGGATCTTTTTATAACGTATATAAATTGTTAAAGAGGTAGTTTGGACAGTCGTTTATGAATAGCCTGTATCGATGAATTATCTTGAAGTGAGTCTACTATTAAAAATTTTGCATATGCTAATAGTTTATACATAACTTATTCAAATTACGATATATTTTTACTTAAACCGTGCAAGACATTTCGAAAATTTATCCTTCTATTTGTAAAAATAATGTTAAGAATATTTTATATTTTTATTTAGTTTAAATTTATTTATAATTACGTGTAATTAAATTTATAGATTACAGTACATTTACGTTTCTGTTTTAATTATCTATTATGATCGAACCTTAATAAAATTAATGATAATACAGATTTTAATTGCGAATTGGGAAATTACGATTCCATTGCAAATAGGCAAATTATTCGAAAGTGAAAATTACATAAAAACAATTACTTAATTACATAAAAATTGAAGCAAAGTAATAAAATTAAGAGATAAATTGATAAGTACAGGAATGAAAGTGTTAATAATGAATCAAATTTTGTTTCATTTATCGTGATTAAGTAACTTCATCTCGCAACTGACATTCATCAGAATGTAGGAGCAGCGGGCGATTATTTTGCCATGAACAATTTCTTAATTTGATTTAACATTTTGAACTGATCAAATCACTACTTTTCTCTCCCGAGCAATACGTTTTCAATCATTTCTTTCCTTAATCTAAGACCTTTTAATTCTTAAATGCATTTACAGCTCTTAAACTCTATTTCCACTTAAAATATAAGAAGAATGAAATTAATATTTATTTTTACATGATTAATGCGTGCTGTGATGATCATTATTATTTATATTTGCAATTAAGATTTCTGAATATCTCATTTCTAATAATTGCCGTTAACGTTTTCAGTCATCTATTTGCATTCAAAATTTTTATATCGCCAGTTAGTTACAGACGTTACATAAAATTAAATTAATCCCAAAACATTCATTTATAATGGGGATACTATTTTATGATATCTAGCAATTAAAATAAGCCTGGCTATTGTAGGCTTTATATATAGAAAAAGAGATCTATATACACTGGAGATTGATTGGTAGAAGCATTTTTTTGATAGTTCTGATAGATTCCAAAAGCTGTTCTCATTTGATAAAATAAATGTGATAGTGTAAACCTGTGTCCTTTATCCGCCAGCTTCTAGAAGATGTCGGAAACAGTAGCAACTTGGATAGAGTCGACAAGCTTTGGTAGAAATGAAAGTTGTCCTTCGAGACATATACTTTTCCTGTCTTGTGTCGGTAAGTCGATGCTGGTTTATATTGCCTTCAAGTTTTGAAGAAAATTCAATAGACATCTATTCTATAGATTACGGCCTGTGAGATTACCTTTGAAGAGAATTTCTACAAATTCACCATGTAGCTGTAAATTATAAATTTTTTTTATAAATTTTTAAAATATGATTATAAAAATATCATTTTTCTTAAAATAAACTTTATAATTTGATAGAAAATCATTTCAAAATAAACGAATTAAAATAAATTTTTGCTAATAGAATGATAAAGAAATTTTATATTTATCACACACACGTTTAAGGATGTTGTAAAATATTGTTTATTCACTCTTAATATTTTAAAGAACACGAGAAAGATTTTGAGAAGAATTTTCATGGAGAAATAAGAAAAAAAATTAAATTTTTATTAAAGAATTATGTTTAGTAATTTATTCTCGTTTTTTGTCTTTGAATATCGTAGGCTTTGTCAATAATTAGTTGAAATATTTGTTTTATTATAAAAATATTTTTATAAATAATTGACATAATATTTCAAAATTTTTCTAGACATTGCTTTTTTATGGAATTAGTGACTCTTGGTTTTGAAATCTTTGACAAAGACGGAAAATAAGTTCAGTACAAATCAAAGAAAGTTATATTGAGTCGTAAGAAGTGGTCTTTAGACATCAATCCACTTTTATGGAGAATTATTATACTTATCTCGTCTGTAGACTGTGAGTGGCACTATTTGACTATTTCTCGATGTTCAGTATGGTTTTCTTGTTCAAATGTTTTCTTCTATAAAATCCTACAAACTTTTCCATTTTAACAATTTACAAATATGATTTTAACGTATTTCTTTGTTGTAAACATTAATTTAATGGAAATATTTTTTATCAGAGATATTTTATAATAATGCTATAATACTATACTTCAGTTATTTCTAAAAAGTATTTTATTAACATATAATCATTGATATACAATCAAACCTCTGAACAACGGCCACTGATGAAAACGTGAAAAAAATGACCCTTGTTAAGAGGTCGATATTATTTGGAGGTTATTTTATATGCATTTTTGTTTTAAAAAAATTCCTGAAAAAACGGCTGTTGTTGGAAGGTAGCCTTTTTTTTATTCGATTGCGCATACATTATATTT